ATGTTGCGTCTGATGTGGGGCAATATCATATTCAATCCCGTGAATGAGGCAGGAAGAATAAAGCATTGAAAGCAACAAATGTGATGAAAATCAGGATGTTGCGCGAGTTTGGTCAATACCTGTACATTTCCAGTGCACTGGGGTTGTGTCATGCTGAGATCTTCATACAAGATTGAAATATATTCGTTACACAAGGAATACGTGATATTGTCTATTCAAATTCAGCTTTAAATAAACAGCAAGTAATAGCAAATCGTGAGTACAGGTAACGTAGTTTTCATGAACCATGTTTTCTCTTGTCATAAATATCTCAATTGATTTTTCATGATACTTATAAGCATATTCTACCGACGAACATGCTGTCACTGCTTCCGCAGTTAACTTTTTCGAGTCCTCTAGCGATGTGACAGAACATGAGATTTTCTGTGTTCCGTTAAAGATGAATGATCTCCACAAAAAGGCAACCACTATTTCATCTCGTGCTGTGAAATGGGTGTCCGAGTAGTAAGTAGCACAGACTCGAATATTGTTAGGTTTACCTCGTATCCTATCTCGAGAATCTTCGTAGATAAAATCTATCATGCTTATTTATCATCCAGTGGCCAAAAAACCAGACTGCGGTTGAAATGACAATCAAGCGAGTATTTGGGTAACTTTCATCTAGTTTCACCATAGGAAAGCAAAAGTGTTATTATACTTAGATTGATGGAGAATGTAAAACCCTGATGTACAATCCAAGTAATTTCTTATTCACACGAAACCGATGTCAGGCATTGAGTGCATCCTGTGATATCCGTTGTGCAGTGCGAAGTCTCGTGCGTGCTAAATGGATGAAAATGAATTACTATGCTGAATTGGGTCTTCTTCACTCTCGTTTTATCTCATATGTAGTCACTCCTTTTTATTATTGATGCATTGTCTCGTTCTAATAGCTTGTTCTCATGAATTGTTGATATGATTGATGGGGAGCGATAATAGTTCAGTGTTGCTTTTTTGCGTGCGAGATCCATGCATTTTGATTATTTGCCGTGAATGCCAGGTTTGCCCAGGTCTTTGATTATGAAAACTTACACATTGTTCTCCCTATATGTGCTCTCTAAACCATACCTGATGCCTCCGGATATAGTATACTGGTAACATTCCCTCTAGCACTCAAGTCCACTGTCTCTTAGACACCCATTAAGATATGCAAATAATCGATCTCGAAAGCAAGTAAACCAACCAGAAACGTTCTCTCATGTACCTGTCCTGCAAAATCAGCTTTTGGTAAATAGCTTGTTGCCCTCATATTCATAGAGCAATAGAACGGAGACCGCAATGCTTGAGATTTTGTAACACTGAATCACACAGACTGCCGTTCACACATGGTAATACACCAATATTGTCGCTAAGAGAAGGTGACCATTTCAGTTTAGTATGTTGTTGACCGAAATTTCATTGATAATTACTTTTTCATTGACGTCCCTACGGTTAACAAACAATGATGCACAAGGACCCATTATCCTGCATCATACGTTATTTTTATCTCTTCTTGCAAGACCTACTCGTCATTCCTCAATCGACTTGTCATGGGTAAATCCCCCATGTGGTTAATCTTTTCTTCCAGAATCTGACTGATTCACTTGACCGCTTTTTCATGTCAGTTGTTTGTGTACTTGTTTCTCTCGTCTGTGTTAGACCATTTTTGGTCATTCATACTGGAAGATAGTCATTCACGTATCCGAGATGTGTCTGTATTTCACCCAGCGCCATATCTGCGTGCGTTGTGAAGAAGAATTTTGATAACTGTGTCTGTATCTTCACTATCGCGAATACCAAACCCCCCATCACCTAATCAGACTGTCGCTCTCTGGAAACCTTTAGCTTGTTGATCCAGTGTCTCTGACGTTTCTTTGGGGGTGTCCAGTCCCTCGGCACCGGTTTGCGAAACGAGCCGAATGACAAGCACAGTAATGAATCAGCAACGGATGGCCATTTGGTCTCGATCACACATCGTCAGATCAATGCAATAGGTTGTTGAATCCTGCAGAACAGCATCCACCTGGGGATTGTGTCCAGGTGTTTGCATCGCCTCTGTCTGTGTGCCTTATGTGCAGTTCTTTTGACTTTGTCTCACTCCACATGGATTTTAAAGGTGTATCCTGCTACCCCATTCCTTGAACGGATTTTCCAAGGGTTCTTCATTTTATAACCATGGTCATCCATCGATTTCGTGTTTTAACGTAATGCCGGTCTGCCCAACCGTGCTTCAAATCCATTCGTTCTCACCACGCCCGTGGCTGCGTATTTAGGACATTACATTCCCAGTGAAACTGTGTGTGTATTCGCGTGTGGTGTTTCCGTCCGGCCCACTCATGTATAGAAACAAATGTAAAATTTTTACTATGGGAAAAAATCACGAAGACTTCGCTTATCAAACCCCATAGTGTTTACACTTCGGTTCGGAACACGATTCACAAGATCACAGTTTGTCCAGGTACCTATGTGAAAGAGTAATGTAATATTTGTGTCGATCACAGGAGAATATATTAGCAGTTGGGTGTTAAAACATAATGTTTGCCAGAGCATCATCAAGCTGACTCTTGAAGGATGCTAATGTTAGTGCACGGACTACGTGAGATGATAGAGTGTTCCATGTGCTGCCACCGAATGGCGTCTGCAAACAAGACGGCTCTTTTGGAGTGCCAACTTCAGTGGATGCCGTCTGAGATGAATATTGGTTGATAGAACCAAAAGAGATCTACGTAGATTGTTGGGCTGTTGTAAAATGCGATACAGTAAGATTATATCACCTCTGATTTGATGGTATTGAGACGAGTATAGCCCCAATAGCTGTAATCTTTCGCCATTGGTCTTGGAATGTAGACAGTTGATCATCTTGTTAGCCATTCTCTGCGGATGTTCGCGTGCCTTCCGATCTCGCTGCAGCCATGGGTTCCAGGTCTGAATTGAGTACTAGGTGTATGGACGGATACATGTGGCTAATGCACGTGGAAACAAAGTCGGTTCAAGCCAACCAAAAACACGTTTAAGCAATTGGACTTGTTTTACCGCCATGGACGATACACTGAAACAGTTTATGGAGCCACTCAAGTCTTTGCGAATGATTCCTCCTAGATCCTTCTCGAATGGAGCATGGGGCAGAGTTTCGTGTCCGAGAGTGTAGGAAAAACNGACCATTGTGACGTAATGATAGGAGACTTTGCATTTGGTAACGTAAATTCCATGTCATTGGAGACAGACCGTCTGAGGGCTTCGTCAAGGGTGTTCTGGAGATCCAATGAATCTTCCGTTTTTTTATTGTCGTCCATATTTTGGCATCGTCTGCAAACAGCAGAGTTTACGGTTCGGGGACGTTTGGAAGATTATTTATAAAGGCAAGGAAAAGACGTGGGCCTAGCACAGATCCCTGTATAAGCCCACGGTTGACATCTATCACATCAGAAAATGAAATGACATGGTACTTAGTTGAAGAAACTCCTCGATGCAGCCAAGTACGAATCCACGGATTCCATAGTTAAATAACTTCCGTGTCGGTATTTGATGATTTACCGTATCAAATGCTTTAGATAAGTCTACGTAAATAATAAGTGCCACTTTTCCTTGGTCTGCATCATGGGTCCAATCGTCCCGAGCCAAAATCAAGTTAGTTGCGCATGACCGATTTTTCCAAAACCCGTTCTGGGCTGGGATTAGTAGACCATTATTGTGGGTGGTGGTGACGCACGGGTTTAGTCGCTGTCACAGGTGTGCTTTGGACCCTATGGCCTGAAGTTCGAGCCCACCAAAACCACCCAACTTTAGTGGTAGGCAGCTTTGCTGTCATCCGGTTCAATACCACGCCTAACCTTTCGGGGCCTTATGTGGTTCGCCACTCCAAGCCCCGTGGCTGAGGTTGCCGGTTTCCATCACTGAACAGCAGATCTTCGTGATTATGGGGTTTACCCCGTCTGCTGTTCATCGCACGAAAGTGTGTAACAAAAAAAGATGATCCATTGCCGAATCCGAAATAATGGATTTCATGGCTTTTGATAACACTGGGAGGAGAGTGACGGGTCGGTAGTTGACTGGGTCACTACGGCATCCACCTTTGTAAATTCCCACAACTAAGGAAGCACAGTATCTTCAAACAAATTTTGGTATAGTCCAAATAAAGGATCGGCTGTGACTTACCAGGGTGAGAAGGGCATGTAGATGTATGTTATCTCAACCCTTTGATAAGTTCTTTAAAGCCAGGAGATTTGCCTTTATCCTTTCGGGAGAAAAAAATAATTTCTGTCAGTAATGGAAAAGGACTATGTTCCACCAAACGGGAAAGTACTAACTCAGTAATACTAGGCGCATTGATTATTTCGAGCGTACTATAGTGTAAGCATATATGCTGCCTCCTTTGTCGTCGTTGACACACGTCCTGCTAAGTTTTGTATTGGAACCCCATATTTGACCTTCCGGGAAGCGTTTCCATGCTTATGTAATAGCTCAGGGTTTTGCGATGAATTTCCTCGCCAGTGTACCATGATAAGTGTGCTTGTCTTCCTGTACCAAATTGGTACAATGGTTTCGAGGGAGACTGTGAGCTTTCCAAGTGCGGGGCCTGGACAACGTTTGAACTCCCTCCAGTAAAAGTCCCTTTGCATTATCCAAAGATAAAAGCGGTTGATTTATTTCAGTTGTCGCTAACGTAACTTGCAACACCACCACCTCGTTTACGGACACTGACGGGACGATCAACCCGATACAAGTTATATACTTGTACAATTTCACTAGGGATTTCTTCGTGCAGCCATGATTCCTGAAGCATAAAAATCCTCATGTTTTTGTACTCCTTTTTCCGTGTGATATCTACTACCTCCTCGACTTTTCCCATCAGAGAACGAACATTGCTTATTAAAATGAGAGGAATTCGCATTCGACTGGTGCTGCACTATCTGAGAGCAACCTGCTCGATATTTTCTCCTACCGTTTTGTGTTTTGATCATCCGCTTGAACTTATTTCTCACATTGTTGGAATATTTCAGAAAAGGCGCAGTTCGCACGATAACACATAAAGGTTTCATGAACATGCTCGTATAAGATAGCACTTGGTGTCCTTGAAATTGATAACGATGCGATTTGATGACAATAAATCCACAAGTGTAAAAATGAACTTCGATATCATGTTGCGTTAGCTTCAATTCACACCACAATGTATCTGAAGCAGCGAACGGGCACTCAGTTTACTCGCATTGCAAGCTGTAATGATAATAGAGCAACACGCTCCAACCTCGCGTTGGACAATCGCTCCCTAATAGCTCCATGCAAGGTGATCGCAGCTCTGAGTCTGAAATGTTGGTCGTCAACCAGGTTTCAGTTACAGCAATGAGATTCCATTGACCGATCTGACAACGTAGTTCCACTTTTAGAAACACTCAGAGAAAACACTGAACGTTGATGTAGAACCAGTTCAGTCGTTGTTGGTGCAGAAATCCCTTGAAGTTTAGGGGCGTCATTTGATCGACCTCATTGTCAGCCGGCAAACGTTTTTGCCATAGGTGTTTGTTGGCTATGGTCTGATGGGGTTGGAGTGGAGCATGAAGTTTGTAGCGTTTCACGCGCAATGTTATTGAGAGTTTCGACAGGTGGACAATTTTTCGGTCGTGAATTCAGCATTGGTCTTACGTGTAACTCTTTGGGCCCTCTAGTTCTGTGTTCATATCATGACTGTAGAACTGTGCATACCGTTTCTGGTGTTCCAAGAGCTACTTTCAATACTTGCGGGCCATCTCCGCTAAACTTGGGATAACGCGAGAGGCGTATTATGACCATGGTAGAGACGTTGCCGCAGTCTAATAATTCTTTGATGAAGCACCATTCCTCAAAGTTAATTTTTCGACGATTAGATCCATTGTATTCGGAGTTGTGACACTCCGTGTATGAGAATCGCCCGCAAGTTGTCTGCATCGCGTGCGCCCTTAGGATCGTTCCGTCAGTGTACACGCTCGGTCCGCGGTCTGTCCGGTAGAATTCTGATGTTACTAGACTCATCTACAATGATAAAACTAGAAAGGAGAACATTTTCAACGTCTTCACCTGGGTTCTCCGATGTCAGGTGATGTCGGTTGGCGCCAGAGACCTGGTAGGCTCACCGGCTTGGTTTTTACACCCATTCGGGCACGTAACTCGGTTTAACGACTCAGGTCGTCCTGTTGCCTCTCTCTCAATGATTTACTCGTGGGTTCTGAAAGATTTGTACAAATTACCCTGAGTGCAGTGTCGCCATCTACTCTCTTGTTCATTTGTGATGCCATAGGAGCTTGCAACTAACGTTTAGCTGGCGGTACCTTGACTACAGGTACCGAAATATCGACCGTTGGTTTCCTTGTCTCTTAGATACATCGTGTCTGAGGTAAAGCAATTCATCATAGTGGACTCTCGTCAGTACCGAGGTCTGACGTGTATCCGTTTGTAGCCAGAGTTTCACTCTCTGTGCGTCCGCTTGTGTGATCGATTGATCATTTGATTATAAAACCTGTCTTGAGAAAGATTACCCACGGTAACCGAAACGTCAGTGAATATCATTCTCTATCGACATCGCTATGTTAATAACACTATAACATTCACAATAAAACAACACATGGCGCATCGATTTTTCGATATACTCCTAACATCATTTTGATATCTTTCATTGATAATTATTTCATGTGACATGTTCTTTCATTCGTTATTATTTTGACGTGTGAAGATTGTGTGTATTTACGTGCATGGCAATACAATGGTTCAACTCCTACACTGCTAAAAATGACGTTGCCATACGAATACACTAATGATTGACTTGTACTGTCCTTCAAGGTTGATTCCCGTTGTTTGGATTGACGTAACTAATTCGTCTGTTCCCTTTGGCTAGGAATTTTGCCTATGAAACATCTTCAGTGACTGTGCGGTGACCATACTACAAATACTGAATGTATCTGTTAGTTTACTCGTAAGATAGTGAACCATCTAAAACATGATCCCACTCTATTCATTTGGTCAGTACACCTGGCGTTAGAATTTCGCTTACATTGTCTAATCAGCTACGTTCAACAACCTGCAGTTTGTGAGCGACATTGTGTTAGTCACTGCAGTGAATAAGCATCAATGTGATACACGGAAGTCATATCCACAGCAAATGAAGCATCTACATTGGTAAATTCATGGCGCAAGAACTTTGTTATGTTATCTGGTTAGCGTTATGTTCTTCAATACTAATAACTGCCCTGGTCAACGGTGTGCTCGTATGATCCCAAAAGTTTTCTAACCTATTCTGCCTCAATAGTGCCTTATCGGTTCATTGGCAGTTGCAGTCACAGTAATGTTGACAGAACTAAATTCCAAAACACATTCGGCGGCCACCCTGATCACAATTCCGGGGCGTCGATAGCTGAATTTCTGAAGTCTTTCTTTCTAACTTTGTAAATCGTAAAAACTCAAAATCAGTCAACGTTTCACAGCATCCCTTTGTCCTTGCATCCGCGATGGAGACAATGGCGCAAACCACTCTTATCACATGGTGAACGTCGAACCATTGAGTGATTACCATCTGTCTAGTTGCTGAACAAATATCAATCAGTGGTAGTTGTGAAATGCTGAAAGATTTTGCAATCTTTCGATTATGAACGTGAAAAATAAGTTTCCAAATAAGTATTTTACTAATTTTACTAGTTTGATGTCCATATTTATCTGAATAGGGGAAGTCATTTAATACATTTGTTTCGTTCATCTGAATGTTGAAGGTTTGATCCCTTATGGAGACGATCGGGATACCAAGTTCATCAGGCCACGTATTACCGTAGGAAGCAGAAGCATCCAGTACCCAAAAAACCCTGAATCCGTGCTACACATGCATGTCCCATATCGTGATAGGCCCTGATTTGGTCCTAACACTTTTCCCATTTGTTTGTGTTCAATTTAACTAAGAGAAAATTCGAGAAGACGACACGACGTAGTTAGTGAATGATGTTAAAAAGCCGCAGGACGAAAAGAATACCTATCGCCATAGGTTTCACCCTATCAGTTATTCAGCGAATTAAGTGGTTGGTGGTGGTGTCAACAGTGACTGAATACAAACTGTCAGTATCGATTGTTATTGCCAAATTGAAGATGGAATGTTTCAGTGAAATGAAACAGATAACTTTTTTCCACTCCAAACAACTCAAATGCACCTTGTATGGCATGACAAAATAAAAGACTTGGTCTAATGAACACACCACACATGTACAATCCCGTTCAGCTCTCGTCTGAAGTAATAACTTATCATGGAAAATGGTGTGGGATTGTGCAAAATGACATTTTCAAATCTTAGAGAATAATATGCGTTCAAAATGTAAACAAATTTAAACGATTCCTCTCGTCAATTATAATCAAACCCGAAGTATTGCTTATAACTCATCTGCTTTCTGCTTCCTTGGTGTCAACTGTTTAAATTTTGTCACGTTTGCTGTTTGCCCTCACCGATGTCTTGCGGTCTGTCCGACGGGTACAGAATTCCTCCCATCTCCTTTTGTCAATTGCACTCGGCCCATCACCAATCGCATCAAGGCTACACTCTGTTAATAAAGTTTGCAATACTATCGTATGCTATGGTACTGTTTATTTCAAGGTTATTACATCAACTGATTATATGAGCTCAAAGCGGTTTAATTATTTCTGATCAATGTTAATTGAATGCAATGAGTGTGACGGGTGTCATCGCGTGAAGGTTTTTTTCGTTTTGTCCCGGGTTCCATGAAGTCTCTGTACTATGATAATTTTTCACCATTGCTTTCGTCAACAGTATAACCTTGTTTTAATCATTCCTTCTGGATAGAATAGAATCTCATCTACCGCTTCCCATACACACTTGCATCCTCGAACCCATATCCCTACAGGCTACACTGAAATTACAGAGTCGTGAACGAATGCTTTTCGTGGAACAATTTTTCACCGCACCTTATTCTACCGAATCCGGACTTGATTTGTTCCGTGTACTGATTGTGCCTAATGTGGAACGTCCCGCAACGGCCACAAGACCATATCAAACCAAAGTAGTGCTCGGGGGCCGTCCGTCCGGTTCGACCGGGTTTCCTTGGTCTGCCGATCCATCCCTTTTCTATATCCACGTATGCTTTTTGTTGGGCTGTCTGGCCTGGCTTGTCCCGTTGCTTCCGGGATGGGGTGAACTTGTTGCATGTCGCGAAGATGGCAGTGTGCGTACCGGGGAACCGCAGGTCAGGTAAGCTGCCTGTTCCGTTGGTTCGGTTTTCCATTGTTTCTCATCTGCATTGTGTTGTCCATGGGAGTTCCGCAGATTTCGAAACCTATGAGCTTCGTTTTGCAATCAATAATTGTATTCAAAACAACTGTGTTCAATTGGTTTATGCTTTCTTGGTGAAACAAAGTATGTAACTGGGTAACATCCTGTGTCTCATTTTTGGGACAAATCTAGTTTTTGACGGGAAGGGTTTTAACTATTGAAAATCATATCCCATATGCAAGAATGTTCATGTGCACGTGTCTGACTGGCAATCGTCAATTGATGAGTGCTCTCATGAAACCAACGTTATTGTCATTCAGGTTGATCTAATGCATTATTCCCCATTATCTCTCTCTCGCCCTTGTACAAATGCCTTCTGATAGCACACGTGTCTCCCGTTCACTCACTGGATTCTGAAGTGCCTCTCGTTTTCCTTTTCCCGTCAGTTTTGTGCTTGTCTTGTACACCACGCGCCTTTATTCCTCAAATTTTTCCTGATTGTTTATACTTTAATCATTGTAATCGGAATTTTTTTAAAGATGGAACAAAGAAAATCCACTCCGAAGAAAAGCAAGCATTGTACCAGCAATAACTACTGGTGGTTTCACAAATCAAATGCACCACAAATTTGAATATCGTGTTCACTTGTCCACACAACGAAGCCAGGGTGTGTGGCTAACTATCATCGCCAAAAATGCTCCATCATGACGAGACTGCACCTTGACTAGGTATAATGACTTGCGTGCCTACATGATCCTGTGAGCTACACAGGATGGTCTTTTACAGCCGCAGCTTTAATCATGCCTGAAATGACAATGGGTAGACGCAAAATGAAGCCAGTTTCACAAGTCCAGTTGTTTAGACACCTCGCTTCCTTTGCCTATCCTTTCTCGGCCCTGGAGAGGTCACTCCAGCAAACAAACACAAGGAGCAACGGTTTACCCGTCAGAACCGCCACTTGGATGAATGTAGGAGCGGGATACCTGAGGCCTCTTCCCAGTGGTGGGAGAAGTCTTCGCACTTCAGTGGACAGCTACCGCCCACCCGAACACTGAACAGCTGAACAGGCCCCAGTCAATAAGGTGCTTTTCCGTCCAAGTTCCGCTTGACTCGTTGAGCGCACGAAACTACAGGGAATCCAGGAAAGCGGGCTATACCTATTCTTTGGGGTGATCAACTAGCGAGGCCGATTAAATTTGGAGCCATTCACACGCTAATCATTTCATTACATCTCAACAGTGTATTCGTTCAAGTTGGTTGCCGTTGGTAGTATGGCTTACTCACAAAGCTCTTATCAAATTGACATGACTCGCATGTGAACTACCTCATGTCGGAACACTCCTTATACGTGTGTTTTACGCTTGTATTGCTACAGAGTGATCGTTGTTTTTCAATAAATTGATACCTCTTTAGGTTTGTTTTCTGGGCGAATCAAAATTCGTTCCATCCATACTGTCATTGGTGCACCTTCATTTGAATAAACTATTCAATCCTTTTGATTCTATTTCCTAGATTTTTCTAACCGTAAGCTTACGATTTACCCTGTCAGTCAACTCGGTAAATCCTGTTTGTTAAAGTGAATAACAGTGCGATCGCAAAACTCTGATTTGTCTTACTACACATTATCTTATTGATTGCGTCTTAAATTTTGCAATTGATTCTTCTGCAAAAAGCACCACGTATTTCATCATCGGCCCCTTCCGCCATAAAAGGTTGATACGAAAAAGCTGTTTTCGCATAAGAGTAAACTGACGATAGTGCGAGCGCGGGTGTTTGGTGTTTGATTTTTTGCTTTAAAAATTGAATTCGCCATTTTTTAAATATATGGATCGACTCCTGTTCTTAGGTGGAACACGAAGATGATGCGCGGAAGAGTCTTCTAGTCTTCTGCTTTATAGGGCAAACCTTGAAAGAAATGTAGTTACTGTTATCACGGTTTATCACATATTCTGTCCGATCATGATTGTTGTTAGAACACAAACAGCTTTTAGCTGCTCTTATCATTGGACAAAACTCGTGTAATGAATCCATTATCGATCTTCTCCCCGGTTCCCAATTGTCTGATCTCGTGTGCACAAATGACATTACACGGCATCTTTGTAAGTCTTTTTCTTGGTTTCTTTTGATTGTTTGTCTAGCTTTGTTCAACGTGCGTTTCACTCCCACAGAGTATATGAGATAAGAGTGGGA